CAGTGACGCCGTCGTCATCCCGGCAGGGCAGCTTGTGGACGAAGGCCAGCATCTGGTACTTGGCACGGATGAACTCCGACTTGGTGGGGCTGAGGGGGGCAGCAGGTTTTAAGGTGAGGAGTGGGGTCCCAGACAGTGCTGACCCCCTCCCCACAGTACAGGGGGCACTCACTGCACTTTGTCCTGGGGGTTTGCCTTCCGGCGCCCGCTCTGCACCTGCGCCGGATCCAGCAGCGAGTGCTCCCAGATGGAGTTGGCCCCATTGCTCGCCAAGGTGTGCACCATCTACGGGGGACAGGCAGGGCCCAGTGGGCATGGGGGGTCCCACTGTGCATCTCCCCACGTTCCTGTGGCCCCAGAACCCACCTGGAGAAGGGTGGCGGGCCAGGGGCTGTGGCGCAGGTGCTTGACGATGGAGATGTGGCGGCCCAGGCTGCGGTGCACGCTGCAGCACTCGTCACAGATGAGCACCCCACGGTTGATCGACGCCCAGCCAGGGTCTGAGGGTGGCATGGGGTCTCAGCGGGTGTCCCCTCCCCAAGCAGTCCCCTCCCCATCCATCCATCCCGCAGGGGGGATGCGTTGCCACAGCAACCATTTCCCCGCAGATGGAGAGGGGCTCAGCCCATCACCAGGGGAAACCCACAGGTTTCCCATAGCAACCACCAGCCAAAAGGGGGGCAAGGTTTGGCCCCCCACCATCAGGAGGGTGGCCAGTGGCAGGGACGATGCCAGCATACCCTGAGCAGGGGCCCTCTGGCTCACTGCGATGCCACGCACCCCTGAGCCCCTGGCTGGGTGTTTGGGGGGTCCTGGACAGGGGCAGTGTGCCTCCCCAGTAGGTGGGCACCCCCAGTTCGTGGGTTCCCACACAGGATGGTCACCGGATCTGCAACCTCGGCACCCCGGTGCAGACCAGCCCCCCAGGGCACCCTGGCTCCAGGGCAGGTGCCACGGCCCCCCACACTGCCATGCCACCCCAGCCCCGCCGCTGGCCCCGGCCGGCTGGACTGGAGCCCTTTGTGTCCCCGCCGGGAACAAAGGACCGTTTGAGCAGCCGCGCTGGCCCTGCGCTGGCACCAACCCCGGCACTCGCGGGGGCACTGCTCCCGGCCAGGCGGCAGCTCCCCACACCCACACCCCAAAAATGGGTCCTGGGGACTGCAGGGTCTCACCCCATGGGGTGGCTGTGGAGCTGCAGCTGTCCACAGCAGCATGAGGGCAGGATTTGGGGACCCCCCCGTTGGGTCACAGCACTCCCCTCCCGTGAAACGCAGCCAGGCACGGGGTGACGATGCCAAACCACTCCCGGGTGTCCCCTCTGCGGGGCACCACGGGGGAGCCCTGAAACCCACTGCCCAGCCCCACCACCCCTTGTTTCTGTAGGTCCTACACAAACACCATGCTACCCCATAGGAGGGAGACGCCCCAAGCCCGGGGGTTACAGGGCCTGGGGGGGGTGGCAGCGGTGGCCAGCGCGATGGCCCTGAGGGGTGACAGCGGCCCCACGACCCCCCAGAGGAAGGCAGGCAGGCAGGCGGCCAAGCCTCCTCCACTTCCTTCCTCCCTGCGGAGTCCTGGACCCCTCCCCACACACCCCCCAGAGCCCTGAGGACACCGTTTTAGGGGGGTACGGCACCCTGCCATGCTGCAGTGCCCTGGGGCCGGGGTGGGGTGGCCGAGGGAGGGGAGAGGTGGCCCCCCCCAGCCTGGCAGCCCCACGCACACAGATGGCAGCGCCTTGGCAGCCGGTGCGGCGGCATCTGTGCCTTCACACCCGCTGCCCACGGGCACCGCCGGGAACAGGACGCTCCGTGCGGGGGGAGCCGGCCCGCGGCCCCCCATCCAGGCGGGTCCAGAGCACCCCTGAGGGAACACCCCCTCCCGCTCTGGGGTGGGATGTGGTGGGATGTGGGTGGGCATTGCAGCAGCTGGGGGAGCGCTGGCACAGGGACACCCCAAACCCTGGGGAGATCCTGGAGTTGAAGGGAGCTCCTGGCACCTCCACCCCTGCACTGCAATGTGGGCTGACAGTGGGACCCCCAGCACTCAGCCCCACAGTGATGATGGTAGGGCTGGGGCCGGGCAGCATCCCTGCATGGGGCCAAGGGAGCTCGGGCACAGGGATCAGGGCACCCCACGGGCACCCCACCATGCAGGGCAGGGCAGCACATCCCTGGCAGCGACAGCGGGTGCTCCCGGTGTGGTAGGAAACGGCCTCTGGACTTTATAACTCATTTCCTCCCATGGCTGCCAGGCGATAAGAGATTGGAAGAAACTGGTTTCCATTTCCCCTCGGCCGCGGCAGGGAGCCCCGGCACCGCCCCGGGAACCCCTGGCCCCCCGCTTGCCCGCCGGCACGGGGGACGCCCGGAGGCAGGGCAGCCTCGTGCCCACGCGTGCCGACAGCTCTCCTGGCAGGATCCGGCCACTGGCACGTGGCCGGAATAATTTCGGCACAGCCTTGGCCCGCGGGCAGCTTTCCGGGGCCGGCTCAGAGACCCGTTCATTCATTGCCGTGGGGCCACCTGCACTGGCCACGGGCAGGTTTGGGGTCCAGCCCTACCGCGGGCAGGGTTTGCGGGGGGGGCCAACCCCGCCGTGACGCCCACGGGCGCGTGCCCAGCGTGGGGGCTGCGGGCACCGGCACCGCCGGGGAATGGGAATGGTCTTGCCCAGGCTCGGCTCTGGCTTGCAGCGCGGCGGCCGCCCGGCTCATCCAGCCAGCACCGCCAAGTCCGGATCCAGCTAGGGTGGGTGCTGGCTGCGGGGTGCTGGGGGGAGGAGGAGGGTTTCCCCCTCTCATCCTGCCGTTTCAGGGTCATCGGTGCCTCTAGCACCGACCGGCGCGTCTCCAGCCTGTGCCAGCAGCCCCCGCGCTGGGGTGTGAGCGCCGTGGGTGGTGCAGGGGGGCGGTGGGTGAAGGCGGGGTGCACTGGAGCGGCACGGAGGAGGGCATTGGGGGGCATCGGGGTCATGTTTGGGGCGTACTAGGAGATTCCAAAGGAGTAAAGGGGGTGCACCAAGGGGGTCACGGGCTTCGGCAGGGGCGTTGCA